CAGAGTCTCTCAGAGCTCACGGATCGGTTCTGTTCAGGGGAAAGTTGAATTGTTTAACTGTTTCTGACAGCAGAAATGGCTCAGAAAGGAGTTCAGCTGGACACAGAAACCTTCTCCTGCTCCATCTGCCTGGATCTCCTGAAGGACCCGGTGACTATTCCCTGTGGACACAGCTACTGCATGAGCTGTATCAAAGGACACTTTGATGGAGAGGATCAGAAGAGACTTCACAGATGCCCTCAATGCAGGAAAATCTTCATACCGAGGCCTGTCCTGGTAAGAAACACCATGTTCGCAGAATTATTAGAAGACCTTAAGAAGACTGGACTCCAAGCTGCTCCTGCTGACCACTGCTATGCTGGACTTGAAGATGTGGCCTGTGATTTCTGCTCTGGGAGAAAACTGAGAGCCAGCAAGTCCTGTTTGGTCTGTGTGGCCTCTTACTGTGAGGAACACCTTCAGCCTCATTATGAGTCACCTCCATTTAAGAAACACAAGCTGGTGGAGCCCTCCAAGAAGCTCCAGGAGAACATCTGCTCTGTCCACGATGAGGTGAAGAAGCTGTTCTGCCGCACTGATCAGAAGTCCATCTGTCTTGTCTGTGCGATGGATGAGCATAAAGGCCACCACACAGTGTTAGCGGCAGCAGAAAGGACTGAGAGGCAGAGAGAGCTGGAGGGGAAGCGGCAACAAATCCAGCAGAGAATCCAGGACACACAGAAAGATGTGGATCTGCTCCAGCAGGAGGTGGAGGCCATCGATCAGTCTGCTGACAAAACAGTGGAGGACAGTGAGAAGATGTTCACTGAGCTGATCCATCTCATCCAGAACAGACGCTCTGATGTGGAGCAGCAGGTCAGATCTCAGCAGCAAACTGCAGTGAGGGGAGTCAAAGAGCTTCAGCAGGAGCTGCAGCAGGAGATCACTGAGCTGCAGAGGAAAGACGCTGAGCTGCAGCAGCTCTCACACACAGAGGACCACATCCAGTTTCTGACCAGCTGCCCCTCACTGCCAGCACTCGGGGAGTCCACACACTCCTCCAGCATCAGGGAGCGTCCTCTGAGCTGCTTTGAGGATGTGACAGCAGCTCTGTCAGAGCTCACAGACAAACTGCAGCACATCCTGACACAGGACTGGACTAAAGTCTCACTGGCAGCCGCTCAGCCGGATGTTCTACTGCCACCAGAACCAGAGAGCAGAGCCGACTTCTTAAGATGTTCACGTAAAATCACACTGGATCCAAACACAGCTCACAGTTACCTGTTACTGTCAGAGGGGAACAGGAAGGTGACCTGTAAGGGTCAACAGTCTTATCCTGATCATCCAGACAGATTCACTGAGGTGTGGCAGGTCCTGAGCAGAGAGAGTCTGACTGGACGTTGTTACTGGGAGGTGGAGTGGAGAGGGGCGGGAGTTACTGTAGCAGTCGCATACAAGAATATCAGCAGAAAAGGAAATGGGAATGAATGTAGATTTGGATTTAATGACAAATCTTGGGCGTTATATTGTGGTGGAAACAGTTCTATATTTAGGTTCAACAACATAGAATCCTCCCTCTCAGCTCCTCGTCCCTCCAGAGTAGGAGTGTACCTGGATCCCAGAGCAGGTATTCTGTCCTTCTACAGCGTCTCTGAGACCAGGACTCTCCTCCACAGAGTCCAGACCACCTTCACTCAGCCTCTCTATGCTGGACTCCGTCTTTTTTGGTCTTCTGGATCCTCAGCAGAGTTGTGTGAGCTCAGATAAACTCTCCTCT